TATTAAAAGGAATCCCAAAAGGAGGTGATACAAAAAAATGACAAATGAATCAAAAGTTTAGGAACATGAGTTAAATTAGCACATTACATCAGCTTGGAACTATGTCTTAATATGCCACTGTGACTGTCTAGTGTCCTATATGCTGAGAAGTAGAATCTTACTGCTATCTCATATGAGCAGTGGGGGTAATGTGATGGAATGAAAGAGAAGTGAGCTTCAGATTGCAAGTATGGACCTGAGGGATTCTCAACACAGATGACCTGAGGCGGCTGTTTAAATCCACAGTCCTCAAAAATCCATTGATTTTACCATATATTACGTGTCACAATTCCTCTAACAAATACATAGGCTGTGTCTCTATTGGCATCCCTTTCCGGAAAAGGGATGCTAATGAGACACTTCGGAATTGCAAATCCGCGGGGGATTTAAATATCCCCCGCGGCATTTGCATTTACATGGCTGCCGCTTTTTTCCGGCTCGGGGTTTTTGCCAGAGAAAAGCGCCAGTGTAGACGTGATTTTCCAGAAAATAAGCCCTTTCCTTATTCCTACTTTCAAGTATATAGGGCAGCCCCACTGGTCAGCGCCTCCTTCTCCTTTTCCTCCTGCCCACTGTGATCAACTCTTTCTCAGTGGGAGACACTGGAGGGGGAGAGCATGGGTGTGACCAGCTCAGTGGAGAGGGTAGGAAGTGGCAAGATACTAGGGGGCAAGGATGGAGGGGGACAGCGCCTGGAGCAGAGCTGGGGGTTGAACAGTGAGCACCCTCCAGACCAGTGGAAAGTGGGCACCTGTAGCTCCAGCCCTGGATTTGGTACCTATGTCAGAAGACGCATATTAACTTCTGAAGAGGCTTAGGGACTTCTGTGGCTCTGGAGCTGCAGGTTGGCCACCCCTGCTGTAGAGACATAAGGGAATCCTCCTGTTCCTGGCTTTGTTAAACAAAACACCCTATAGCTTCTCCTCCTTGTCTGGTACAATGAAAGCTCCCCCTTTGTTTCAATCAACTTTAACCACTGACTCTACTATAAGCAGTATATTTCATAGTCTAGGGACAGCTCCATGTTTGATGAATGATGCAGGTGTGAGTGACTGCAGGCTACTGAAAGATAGATATTTTCTAGTTTGCCTCTGGCATATAAGCCCCTAAAGCAACATTCCCTCTGCAAAATTCTCTCGGTAGCGTCCTGCAGTATTTTTTAGTCAGATGCCACCATTCCTCTTCTGAAGCACTGAGCAACTCAGAGGTTGAACTAATGCAAAATAATTTTCAAAGGAACAATATGGGACTGTCCATTGCTAAGATTTCCTCAGCTTTAAATATATTTTTCTTTTAAATATGCAAGCAACGAGCATCAAATGCTTTTTCATTCCATTTAGCATCTCTGACAACTCTCATTCCTTCTTTTCATATAAATTAAAAATCACATTTATGTCAGTGTGGAGTTTCAGAGGAAAATTGCCAGGATCTGTGGGAAGGGGAAGGAGCCCAAATTACATTCGGGTTGAAACATTTTGACCTGCATTTGACCTGCAATTTGATATTCAGATCAAATATTAACTTTTTATAGGAGAACTTAAATACTTCCTGCAATCAAAATACCAACTGAGCCAAACATACAGGCTGTGTCTACATTGGCATCCCTTTCCGGAAAAGGGATGCTAATGAGACACTTCGGTATTCAAGTAGGAATAAGGGATCCTCCAGAAAAGGGCTTATTTTCCGGAAAATCGCGTCTAGACTGGCGCTTTTCTCCGGCAAAAACCCCGAGCCGGAAAAAAGCGGCAGCCATGTAAATGCGAATGTCACGGGGGATATTTAAATCCCCCGTGGATTTGCAATTCCGAAGTGTCTCATTCGCATCCCTTTTCCGGAAAGGGATGCCAATGTAGACACAGCCACAATGTCTCTTCAGGCTTATGGAAACTAAAATCCTAACCCTGCACTCATTAAGTCAATAGCACTTTTGCCATTGGCTTCCAGGGGAGCAACATCAGACCCATGCATAAATCTTATTGCTAGTTCATTGCAGAGACTTTTTTTCCCCTCAGTCATGCCATCTTGTAACACTAGAAATTGATGTTATGCTGCTGTTCTGTTACTATCAAAGCAGAGGGGAGAAATAGTGGGTAAAACTAAGAAGCTGGTAATACATTAAAACAGACTTTTATTTAAAATTGTGTTAATTGCAAAAAGTTCAGGGGATTTAGCCTCTGTTTTAAGTCGTATATCAATCAATTTCATGCCCAAGAATTCTGATTCTCTGCAAGTACAACCAGAAATTAAAAATGAGCAATAATGCACAATGAAAAACAGTTAGTTTGTTGTTGTGCTGTTGGAATAACCACAAATAGATCAAATTCTAGTCTACATTTATATAGGTTAAATTACCAGCCTATTGTTTTATCTTTCTTTTCTAGATTGAAGAGCCCTCTATTATCAAATTTCTGTCCTCCATGTACCTACCTTCCTCTGATATGCTAAGTTAGATAAGTTCCTTGCATCTTTCATTATATAAGCCATATTTTGCAGTTATTTAATCTTTCTTGTGGTTCTTTGCTGAAGCCTTTCAAATTTCCTAACATCTGTTTTGGACACTAGAAATGGAGGCAGAAACCCAATAGGAGTCACATTAGTATCAAACACAGATGTAATGTAACCACCCTACTCCTATTCTCCTGTTTATACATTCAAGGCTCACATTAGCCCTTACTTTGTTCACAGTGTCACACTGGGAGCTCATGTTCAGCTGATTATCCTCCACATCTTTTTTCAGAGCTCCTGCTTCCCAACAGAGCCCCCCGCCTTCCCCTACATTGCTTCCTTGCAATTGATGAGCTAAGTCACATGGTCTTGTCTAAGTTCCCTGAGGAAAGGAGCATGCAAGGCATTTCTAAACTGATTGCTGAAATCCATTTTGAAATTTGTTTTCTGTGAACACTGTCAGAAAACCAGAAGAGTTGAAAGTTTTGGGAGACGCAAACACAAATGCCATAAAAATAGCCAAGATTAATTCATTTAAATGTAACGTTTGTGCATTATTAACTCAACCTGCAAGTCTAAATGGCAAATTAATTCTAATCTCCTCAATAAAACAAATTCAAGCCATCTCCGTTAAGCCCAAAAACATTGAGCCTATCCTGTCACACTAATGTCCTCATGCCTTCCACATTTTATAATAAACAAGCTGATGCAGAACTTAAATCCTTACTCATATAAACCCCTTACATACTTATTTGTTTATACAAATAAGATTGCCTCCTCTCCTAAAAGTTTATAATTTATAGGAAACAACCCAAGCGAGAGGAGAATAACACTTTAATTCAGCCTTTCAATATATAACAAGTGCATCTCATATAAGTATTATTAATGGATTGATAATACAGACTTAGTTAAGTAACTATTACAGACTTATTCATTTCCCTTCTAATATTCTCTCTAGGAAAAAAAATAAGGTCACATTCTTAGCTGATATAAATCAGCATAGTTTCACTGCAGTAATTGCAGCTACACCTTACCAGAGGTGGATTTTGTCCGAAGAGTTCATCACTTCTGGTTGCTGATTATGCAGTTGCAGAGTATGCTTGACACTTCTTTCTGTTTCCATGTGGCTGTAATTTCACAGTGAAGAACTATTAATAGATAAGAAATTTACCTTCAATTTTTATTTTCATAGTTCCCTTTCAGGATAATCCCAAAGATATACAGCAAGTATGTACTTGTAGCTTATATTGTAAATGCTAAAGTGGTAAGCTGCTGCAAAATATGAATCAAAAAACACAATTTGACTACCCCCTTCATCCAGAGAGGACTCCTGCGGACTTTCTTTCTCCCTCTGTTCACTTTTCCTGGCTATTCTGGAGTATAAAGCCTGACTCCCTGCCTTTGTCCACAGAGATGACATACTGAGAAATGGATTGAACACATGCGGAGGCAAAATTTTCAGAGGTACATTTCACACTGAGATTTTCTGGTAATATCTATCAGCTTACTGCTGAAAGGCATTGCTAGGCTTTGGATCACAAAGATCTTAATTCACTCTCTGCATTTTTACCACTTATTGCCTGCCTAGATGAAAAGGTCAGATAATTTATCTTCTGTATATGTTATGCAGTGAGATAATGGTAAGAGATCTCTCACAGAAGCTGCAGCTGTAACATTTCTGGAAATAACTCTAATGATGATAAATCCAGGTTCCTAACAAAATGTCATTGTTTATTTAAGATTTTGTGGGCCTAGTTGCAAAGAAACAGGACTGGGCACCTGAAAGACTAGATTGTAAGGGACCTGGGAACAATGTTATACAGGGATTGTGTCCTCCCAAATACCAGCAATAATTGCAAAAAAGGCCTTGTATGGAGGAGCAACACTTTTATTAAAGTAAAATCCAAATGTATGGGAAGCTCATTGGGCAATGATGTATTGGGAGTTCTCCCCTGATGCCAGAAGAATGCCTCTAGCAGAAGGATGAGGAATAATGCATGATACTACCATGACCCTAAATAGTGAGAACTAGCCTCACAGTGATATCATTAAAATAGATATTGCACAGGATTTATTTCACTAGAGTTACACTATTTTACATTAGCTGATGTAGCCTGTAGGGCTAACCAGATTGCTTATAGATATATATTCAAATATATTATTTTCTTATTATTTTAATTATATGTTTATTGTAATAAGCTACGGTAGGTTTATATTGGAAGCTTGGCTGCCAAGAGACCTATAGGCCACATCCTATATGTTGAACTAAGCAACGTTAGTATTTTTGTCTGGGACATTTGACCCAGATAACACAGTTACCTCACATATGTTCAGGATCCTTCCTCTAGACAGATGATGATAAAATAGAGTGACTTTCCATGGTATAGGGGCTTCCAAGAATACCCTCAAATTTAGCAGGTACATCATTACTTGGAAAAACCCAAAATAACTGGTTGAGACCAGACTGAATAACCAGGAAGAACAGAAATAAACAAATGTGATAGACAACCACAAAAGGCCTACTGCAAGGGGTGGCCAATCCTTTACAGATGAAGAGCCAAAATAGCAGTGGATACAGCACAAAGAGCAGAAGGGAAAAAAAGTTGCTGAGCAAAAAAAAACCCAACCAAACAAAAAAGCCCCGGCCACCATTTGATCAAGCAAAAAAACCAACAACAACAACAACCCAGCTGCAGCCCTTTTAAGAACAGAGCAGGCACTGCCTTTTTAAGGGTGGCCATTTTGAAATCTCCACCAGTGTCCCATGCAGACACGCTGCCCCTTTCAGAGCCTCGAGCTGCGGGTACAGGAGCCACAATTTTTTCTTTGAAGAGCTGCATGCAACTCATGAGCCATGGGTTGGCCACCCTTGGCCTATAGTAACAAACTGACATATATGATAATAAGTTGAGATCAATGATATACTGACTTATTGGAAAAAGACACTTCACCATTAGTTAGGTGAGGAAATATAAATAAGGAGAAAAGGAAATGTCCCCCATTGAATACGCATCAAGCATAATAACGTTAGAGGAACATTTGGTAAGTGGCATTCTAGCCAAGGGGTGGTAGGAGAAGGAGGTTTAGTCCTTGGGAGGTACCAGAATGATGGCCATTGGTGATGATGGAGACGGTGCAGGTGGCGAGGAAGATGATGGCTAACACCTCAAGTTGTTCTAGAAGGAATGATGTGAGTATGCGGTATGGAAATATAGCTATACATTCCCTATATATGTTATGAAATTGAGGTGTTTGTGATTGTGCTAAATATATTAATAAACTATATTTGCAAATATACAAGAATTCCTATAGTGTGAGTTTTGGATCTGTGCACATCAGGGTTCCCAACCATAGAATAATTGAGTACTGGGCCTGATCCTGGGACAAAGGACCTGTCAACCCTAAAGGTGGTTTGACCTGGGCAGCATCACCTTTGCCAATGTCAACCCTAAAACTGAAAATTCATAAGTAATCTTTGATCAGTCAACACTGAGGATCTAGCTATCATTATTATTATTTAAATGGATATTGAGCAGGAGCAGCATGACCAATCTAGGTTCTGCTTTCAGGTGGTTATACTTCTCAGAACAAATGTGAAACTTGGGGTTTGGATCCATCATCTCATGACCCAGCTAGGGCAAAGTTCTAAAGTCCTTCTACATACTGAAAATACAATATGCTTGCGTGCACAAAATGTAGCCCTAAGTCTTACCCTGGCAAGCAGTTTTAGGGGAATCTGGGTTGTTGTCACAAAGGGTATGTCTACACTTGTACCCTCTTTCAAGAGAGGGATGTAAATGAAGACATTCAAAATTGCAAATGAAGCCGGGCTATCCCGCGCTTCATTTGCATAATTGCATTATGGCGCTATTTCGAAATAGCGCTTTTTCAAAATAACAGATGCTGTTAAGCCGCAGTTATTTCGAGAGAAGGGTTTTCTCTCAAAATAACCACGTCTAACAGCATCTGTTATTTCAAAATAACGCTATTTCAAAATAGCACCATAATGTGATTATGCAAATGAAGCACGGGATATGTAAATCCTGGCTTCATTTGCAATTTCGAATGTCTTCATTTGCATTCCTCTCTCGAAAGAGGGTGCAAGTGTAGACATACCCATATATACTATGTCCTTGAGATCTGCTTGTCTGGGCAAGATTCCATGTGAGATAGAGGGGCAGTGGAAGCTCAGTTATTTTGTTTACCCCGCAGCTACTTTGGGTTGCTGATACTGTTCACCACCATACAGTACAAGCTATGTGTGGGTGTGTAAATTAACCAGCATCCTACCAAGACGGCAGATTATATAACCTGGAATCACAATTCAGGGTCAAACAAAGGATTTGAGCTCTGAGGTCTCTCTAGAGCAGGATCATTCCCTGCATCTTTGCCTAGGGAGAGGAGAATCCCTATACCTTGTTTCCCCCACTCAGTGCAGGCAGCATAAGATAAGACCCAGCTACCCAGCTCTTAATCTTTTTCCATCCCTATCAATAAAAAAAGTGGGGTAGGGAAAAGCCACCTGAAATTTAAAATGATCCATGTATATTTGTGTGAACAGGAACATCAAATGCTACTTTTGTTCCAGGACTGACCTTTTTTCCTCCCTACCACCTCACCTACTGCCCCACTCATAGATTTGCATCTCTTGACTTTGGTGGGAGTTTTTCACTGAGTGAAATGTTTCTGTCAATTTATCTCTCAGACCCAGCAAAGAATAAACAAACTGAAAACACATGATTGAAACTTGCTCATTTTCACCACAGGTTTGGGCTATAAATGCTATTCCTTGATGCAGCATGTGGTGAAGGAAAAGAAAATGAGTCTATTTTAGTTTTACATGCTGCTTGCTCCAGGCAGCGTTACCAAAGCAAACAAACAATTCAAAAACCTACTCATTGTAACCTAGAATACAAACAAAATCAGTATAAGTTACTGGTCCTACTGTGAGGCCAGGAGACTAGATTTGATTACCTTTTGAGGTCCCTTCCAGTTCTAGTATTCTGAGATTCTATAATTATTTAGAGTAGTGCTTATTTGCATGAATTCTAAAGAATTAGTAAGAACTTTGAAATTTCGATTTTGTCTCGTTAAGAGTAAACACACCATTTAGATTCTTAAGGATGCAAGTAATAAATCACTGCAAGATTCATAAGTGAAAGTGTGATTAGGTTAATATAGCTGCCAGTTGTGGTGCAGGTGAGCCATCTTAGTGGTACGGTACAATACATGGTATAAAACCAGCATCATCATAAAAGTTTAGTGCTTATATGAAATACAATTATGCAAGCAAATTCCCAATAGAGATTTCTGAATGTAATTTCAAAGGTATTTTTATTTTTTAAAAAAACAAACCTATTATCTTCCAACTTGCTCATGTTGTGATGGGAATAGCTTGATGCCTTTTAAGGATTTTTTATCACAAGAGACAATTCTTGGATATGTAGAGCTTTTCTCAGTCAGAGCACAGAAGAGCACATCTAAAGTTTCAGTGAGTCAGTTTTCTCCTCTCTTTCCTATTGAATAACCAAAATAAAAATAAAGATTCAGGGGACTCTTCTGGTCTTTGATAACTAGAAAATATTGATCCATTTCACTTTCTGTAGAGACACGACATTATTGCTTGCTAGTGAACGAGTGAACTGAACTATATCTTCTGATCTCCAGTCTTGCACCTTCTAATTAAAGGCCTGCTCCTACAAGTGGAATGCAACTTGAGAGTGTTTGGAAACTGTCATCTAACTGAACCTCATGAACTCAGCATCTGTCAGAAAACAGTCAGCACCAAGCATGACCTAACACATGGGTGTTAGTAGACAAACACATCACATCTCTTTCTATTCTGATTAAAAGTGGAGTTTGTAGTTAACACACTTGTCTATCTCTCTGTTTAGATTGTTCATCACTGTAGTCATTTCAGCTATCTCGTCACAATACGTGCTAAGTAAGTTTAAAATGCTACCATTCAAATATGGTGGCATTCTGCCCTCACTTTGCAGAGAAATCCATTTGCGGGGGAGAAAGGGAAGGCAGCATAGAATCAGGTCCCAAATGTGTAGTAGTAGGAAATGAATATTTCTTAGAATAGCTTGAATTGTATCATTGATATTTATTTCTATTGCAGTAAGTTCCAAAAGGCTCCACTTGAGAGCAGCTGCTAGACATTGTACAAACACATAATGAGAAATAGATCCTGCTCCAAAGAGGTTCCAGTATAAAAGGTCGAAATCAAGAAAAGTTGGGAGAGCAACAGGAGAGACACAAAGAGGTGAAGCACATTGGCAAAGGTCACTCAGCAGATCAGCAGCAGAGTCAGAAACACAATCTGGGTCTCTGGACTCCCAGCCCTGTGCTCGATCCACTGGAACACACGGCCTCTCTTAGAAGTTGCACATAGAGACAGGAGAAGAGTCTTTCAAAATGCATATTGTTGATTTCCTATAACAAGTCTGAC